GAACACTTACTTGAAACAACTAAGTAATCCAATGTAAGAACACTTACTTCGTTACTCTTTTTAATTCGTTTTTAGTTACTTAAAAATATTAAATAAACTGAAATGGAATATAAACTATAACTTTACCGTGTCTTGCGATTATCTTTTATCAGAAGTTCTAAGTTTGGAAGAGCTTCTTCTAATGGTTTCATATCTCCAACTAAAGGCGTTTCTTTTCTTTTTTTGGTTTCTATTTCTTTCTTTTTTGCTGCCTTTATTGCTTCAATTTCTTGGGAAAGAAAATCAATTTGTAGTGATATTGACAAGTCTTTATGATTCCTATAATAATATTATCTAATTATAAAAAAAAATCAGTTACTTCCAAATTCACGCTGCTACTCACACCTAGTAATATCCATAATTTATCAAAGTAAACAAGCTAAATATGCCTATTCTTCTAAACAATATGTTTGTAAATAACAGTTTATCAAACACTAATTTCATCCCAAAATATAATTAACTTATTTACAAAAGTTGATATCACTTTCTACAATATTATTTTTTATATTAAAGTACTTTCATGTTCTTTCCTCTAATAATGAACAGGTACTACATATAAAAACAGATTTGATATAAAATTTGCTCTTGAAGGACTACAATGATCATTGATCTCTACAATGATCCTTCATCTTTAATATTTACTGTTATTTCAATACCACTTCACGGTAAAAATGCCTCGAGTACAATGTTACTTCTGAAGTTCGAAGGAACACAAATGGGTCTTGATGATGGCAGAAGTAATACTAGCCAAATACTGTCAACCCATTGATGATACACAGATGGGTCTGATGATGGCAGAAGTAATACTAGCCAAATATTGTCATCCCATTGATGATACACAGATGGGTCTTGATGATGACAGAAGTAATACTAGCCAAATATTGTCATCCCATTGATGATACACAGATGGGTCTTGATGATGACAGAAGTAATACTAGCCAAATATTGTCATCCCATTGATGATACACAGATGGGTCAACATTCATTTTAACTGCAACTCTGGAGCACGTTACCACCAATGTGGTATGTAAAACATTAATTTTAACTGCAACTCTGGAGCATGTTACCACCAATGTGGCATGTACAACATTAATTTTACTTTCACTCTGGAGCATGTTACCACCAATGTGGTATGTACAACATGAAGTTTTACTGTAACTCTGGAGCACGTTACCACCAATGTGGTATGTACAACATTAATTTTACTTTCACTCTGGAGCATGTTACCACCAATGTGGTATGTACAACATTAATTTTACTTTCTCTCTGGAGCATGCTACCACCAATGTGGTATGTACAACATTAATTTTACTTTCTCTCTGGAGCACGTTACCACCAATGTGGTATGTACAACATTAATTTTACTTTCTCTCTGGAGCACGTTACCACCAATGTGGTATGTACAACATTAATTTTAACTGAAACTATGGAGCACGTTACCACAAATGTGGCATGTACAACATTAATTTTAACTGAAACTATGGAGCACGTTACCACCAATGTGGTATGTACAACATTAATTTTAACTGAAACTATGGAGCACTTTACCACCAATGTGGTATGTACAACATTAATTTTAACTGAAACTATGGAGCACTTTACCACCAATGTGGTATGTACAACATTAATTTTAACTGAAACTATGG